TGACCAAACGTCACGCCACAGGCGCTCCACACTGTCAAGACATGACCAAACGTCACGCCACAGGCGCTCCACACTGTCAAGACATGACCAAACGTCACGCCACAGGCGCTCCACACTGTCAAGACATGACCATTTAGGCATGCAAAAAACAAAACACTAATCAGTTAAGTGTGTCTCAGACCAGTATAGTAGAAGAGCACCTCATCTGCCAGGCAATGCACTAAATTTAACCAAACATCAAACATTATTCCGGTACTAATCGATAAGGGAAACCAATTCCTTACTCGTAAATCCATCGATGTCTCCAAATATGACGATATTGTTCCAACTTCTCGACCTCTGACACGGTTCAGCAGTTCCGTCAAAGCTCCTAAAACGTATTCAGGGATCTGAATGACGTTAGACAAAGCACTGACGAAAGTGAGCTCTTGATTGCAGGTGAATTCCAAAAGCCTGGTCTGAAGCATCTCCAATATGTAATTTCTCAGTAGAACCTGAAGACAGAGTGGCACAAGGTTATTATTGATGTCAGCTAAACTTGCGTCAGGATACTTAGCGAGCTAACTTACTCTTTGATAACTCAATAGAAAAATGAGTAACGCCAATCAATAACTTATTACTATACCTAGGTACTGGATGTGAGTCCTTGACTAGGGCGACCTTGTGGACAGGAAAGGTTATCCTCCTTGCTAGTGTCCATTACCATAAGGGTAATTGGTAGTTTGTCAGTGACATGAGCTAACTTGCTAGGCCATATCAAATGCCACGAGCCCGAGATCGACTGTGTAAGCTAGTTAGTTAGCTAGCAACGTGTCATTAGCTAGCTAGTGCTATCTAGATTTGCGCTGGCAAACAAATCCATTACATTAGCTACCTAAATGTGAAGTAAACTCAACTGAGGAGTAATAATTAACAACCCAATCCTTACATGAGATTTAGGCGGCCCAGCACCATGTCGCTCTTCTCACAGACTTATTGCTACTCCAGCGGGAGCATGTGGACTCAGTTTGCACTACAAATGGAGACTTTTAAGTTGAAAACGTGCAGGATACCTATTTCTGGTTTCCCTGACTTCCGTTTTGGTTTACTGTGTTATGCTTGTTCGCGTATCCATCGTCACATGTCGTTACGTTTTTTGTTGGTGAGATGAAACTGCCAAAACTTTTGTTCAAGCCTAAAATGTTAGTCCCTAATTGTAACATGGTGTTTGTATGTTCACAGATGAAATGTCACGTTTACGTTTCAGGCATGGATTTCTTACGATCCTAACGATACTTAAGTTAAACCTTTTGGCAGCTATCTGGATCCATACTGCCGCACCAAAAAAAAGTATCAAGGGAAGCCAACTTGGATATTGGCGTCACTCCTATCAAATCCCATTGAGCGCAAACGTCATTGTCAGAAACTTGAACTGTTGCATCTCGTTGTGTTGTTGTCCTCCAGTGGCTAGTTAGCTAAAATTGGCACTTTCCTAAATTAGCCATGGATGGAGATAAAGATTAGGACTAGTGGTTTTACTTATTCTCGGTAATGACCAATCATTTATAATGGCGATTCTGATCCAACCATTAATTCATACATTGTTGTGCCCCCTGGCCTGAGAGGATGGAAGTTCAATATGTAGCTAACTAATATGTAGAAGGCTAATGTTAACTAGCTAACGTTGCCCATGAATGGAGTTAGGCTAGCGAGCAAGCATTTTAGCCAGATAGCCTAGGACAACAAAAAATAAAAGCGTGTACTGTATGACAGTGATAGAACGTTTCCTCAACATGAAAGAGAGGAGGATGGAATTGGCGTTTCTCTACAAGTAGGGTGAGTCAACATGTTTTCTACTTGCACAAACGCACAAAGAAATCAGAACAATGGACAGCCACATCATATTTAGCGTACGTTGATTGGACTAAATTGTTTTTGGTATCTTTTAGTTGTCACTGTATTAGACTAAACGGAGGTGATTTGATGATGTTCAAATGTTGAAGTTGAAATGGTGCTGAAATAGTGGAGGCAGCTCATGTTTTCTTTGCGACTTGCGGTAACTCTCTGTGGTTCTAATGCAATAGTTGTTTAGTGGTCCGAAAATGTCGGAAACATTAACTTGCTTCACCATGTTGTAGGTCATGTAACTGTCTGTTACTGTACACGCAATATGCTTTGTGGACTTCACTGGACAGAGCTATCCGGTTTTGTGATAAAACAAAGTTGTGGTTGAATTTATTCTGCCACTGTGTCTTATTGTCTCGGCCTAACAGGTTATAAAGCAAACAACGCAATTATCACAACACATAGGTTGTAATATGGCTTTGGCTTCCACAGTGATTTTACCCACGCACAGCTACTGATGAGTAAGCATTTCACTGTTAGTCTACACCTGTTGTTTCACGAAGCATGTGACAAATAAAATGTGATTTGATTTTGACGCAGCCACCTCTGTCTCTACCTTCAACTGCCATGTGGTGGCGCCAATACTCTTCCTCTAAAGGGGGGTTTCTTATGGGTAGTCGAACGGTCCATCAAAACTGTTCACCAGTCTTCCTCATTAATGTGCAGATAGGTAGAGATGTTTATGAAAACACTTTTAGCATACTCACTGTCCCTTATGTATGTCTAATTTCAAGAATTAAAGGTTCATTTGTTTCATAAGGTTCATTTAGGGGTACATTCTTAGAGAACTGCTATACATTTTGCACACTATTATAGGGAAGAAAATGTCAGTTCAATAAAAAGTGTTTATTTTTTATTAAAAAACAAAGAGTTGAGCCTTCATTAGGGCCATGCACCTTTGTTGGACTGCAAACTTCTATTTTGCATGTCGGTTAGAGTCAGAGTAAGTCATCACATCTCAGTGAGCTGTTGTGTGTGAACCGTCCCTCATGTTTAGCATTAGCAGAGGGTTCTCAGGATGTACACTGACTGGTAACAGTGAGCGAAGGGCTGACATGGCTCGTCTGCCCTTTTTAATGTGCACATGATCTGGCTCCTCTTAGCTGCCCAGGTGACAGTGAGCCAGCTGAACCTGGTGTCCCACAGCGTGGTGGCTGCTCCCTACCAGTGGGAGTACCCCTACCTGCTCAGTATCATCCCCTCCCTCTTCAGCTTCATGGCCCTGCCCAAAAACAACATCAGCTACCTGTTGATCTCCATGATCTTCTGCATAGCTCCACTCATCTACGGGGGTATGGAATAATAAATATGGTAGAAACTCCCACTAGACCAGTGATGGACAACTTTGATAGGGTTGGGGACCACAACAAATCTGAACTCATCAGGAGGCCCAATGGCTCCCACACATGCAGTCAGAGCCTTTTGGGGGCTTTAAGTGGAATTGTCTACCCACACCCAGTTTGTTTAACTCACTTCCTACCCCAGGACCGAGTTTAGGAAACTTTATTCTAGAGAAGTCTACCCTCTAGTGCCCTCAAATCCTAATCCAGACCTCCAAGCCAGTTTCATTGCTTTAAAAAAATCTAATTACACATGCTCTAGTGCAAAAAAGTTGGTCTGTTTAACAAAATATGTACTGTACCTTCCCAGCTGAAACTAAGAATGTTTTGCATAGAGAAGGGCAGTGCTATTGGTTGGCTGGTCCTCACAGTATCCATCCATGTGGATCCATTTTATTCATCCTGTCATACCTGATCTATTTTCAAAGAATTTGTGTCATTGTCTTTACTGATCCTGTTGACAACGTGGGTTGTGTTGGAGCCAATGTACAGTACTTTCCCCTTAATTTCAATAGTAAATCATTAACTGGTATCTGCATGTCACTGCAAACTCTGTAACAGGTGAAAAGCAGTATAAGACCAACAGACGTCCTAATAATGTGCAGTCTGCTTACACTGCATGTCTTTAAATGGCAGAGATGAAGGAGCTATGGATTATGGCTGTCTTTGCTACAGGTAAGACTTGCTCTATATTTGATTTATTCAGGGTGATTTAAGATGTTCAGATGTACACTGAGTGTACAAAACATTAAGAACACCTGCTCTTTCCGTGACATAGACTGGCCAGGTGAATCCAGGTGAAAGCTATTATCCCTTATTGATGTAAATTGTTAAATCCACTTCAATCAATGTAGATGAAGGGGAGGAGACAGTTTAAATAAGGATGTTTAAGCCTTGAGACAGTTGAGACACGGATTGTGTTTGTGTTCCATTCAGAAGGTGAATGGGCAAGACAAAATATTTAAGTGCCTTTGAACGGTGTATGGTAGTAGGTGCCGGTTTGTGTCAAGAACTGCAACGCTGCTGGGTTTTTTACACTCAGCAGTTTCCCGTGTGTATCAAGAATGATTCGCCAACCTTCCAGCCAACTTGACACAATTGTGGGAAGCATTGGAGTCAACATGGGCCAGCATCCTTGTGGAATGCTTTCGACACCTTGTAGAGTCCATGCCCTGATGAATTGAGGCTGTTCTGAGGTCAAAGGGGGGGTGGGGGTGGGGTGTTCCTAATGTTTGGTATACTCAGTGTATGATGCTGTTGTTAATTTTCTTGTGTGATTGAGAACTGTGTAGGAAAATTGCTTTCACTTACGATGTGCAAAGATGTATGATGCATTTAACTTATCTATTGATTATATCCAATATGTGACCTTAGAGTATTTACAGTTTGGTTTATGGATTTTAAAGTTGAGTTTTTAGTCAGCGATTGACTGATGTTTGGTCCTTTTGCTGCGAAGGATATGTTAGTGTCTACGAAGACATTGTTTCAGACTTTTTTTTATGCAGACACTTGATGGTGAATAGACTACTGTCAGGTCTTAGATACAGTTGATAACAGAGTAGCCTTTGCTATCAACTGTCAACCGTTAATTGGCAGTGATAATGACTTCTTTCTCTCATAAAGTACAGTAGAAAACATTTCTACACTGGTGCAGAAACACAATGAAACTGGAACAACATGGATCATCTGCTATGCTTATAGCAACTGACACTATGTACCCTTGTTTATGTGGTTTACAGAGTTATTTAAATTTTTTGGGCAGTCTCTTTGCTACAGGGGGATCTCACCACATCCTCTGCCGTTCCAACCACCATTGACATAACTACTCCAGCTACTGCTGCCCCTTTAACCCCTGACCCTCCAACTACTGGTTACCGAAATGCTACTGGACTTCCAACTACTGGTAACCCTACCTCTATCCCTATCACCAGTACCAGTCTCCCCACCACCACCTCTACTGCCACAATCCCTCCTCTGGTCTGTATCAATGGTGGTGAGCTGCAGAGTGGAGTCTGTATCTGTCCTGATGATTGGACCGGAGAGACCTGTTCAGAGGGTACATCCACACCCTTACACTATACCTAACCCTGGATCTCACATTCACAGTACACACCACTACACTACTATACCTAACCCTGGATCTCACATTCACAGTACACACCACTTCACTACTCCTAACCCTGGAACTCACGGTCACAGTACACTACTCCTAACCCTGGATCTCACATTCACAGTACACACCACTTCACTACTCCTAACCCTGGAACTCACGTTCACACTACACTACTCCTAACCCTGGATCTCACATTCACAGTACACACCACTTCACTACTCCTAACCCTGGATGTCACATGCACAGTCCACACCACTGCACTACTATACCTAACCCTGGATGTCACATGCACAGTCCACACCACTGCACTACTATACCTAACCCTGGATCTCACATTCACAGTACACACCACTACACTACTATACCTTACCCTGGATGTCACATGCACAGTCCACAACACTATTCCCTGGATCTCACATTCAGAATGTATATTTCATGTTTGCAGTCATACATTTGGTCCATGTTGAAATGCATTTTACTTCGATAGGGAATTTCTGCAATTCCACCATCATTGCTGATTTATCCTTCCCAAGAACAACGGTTGGCTGGTCTGCTTATTCAGAACAATTGTGTGGTGAGGAGACAACCAGTGGTATGTTACTTTTATTCACCTAAAATGACAAAAATGTATTAATCTGTTACAGTTCTAATTAATGTTGCATTAGGTAACACAAAATCTTGAGTATCTTTTTGTCTTGGTTCCTCCAGCCGGATTACCAGAAGCCTCAGCAAGATGTTTGAATGACACTGGCTCTCCGATGTTTGGTCCTCCTCAGGAGCTGCAGTGTGAATTGACCCTCAGTGGCATTCAAGGAAATGTAAGTCAATATTCTTATGATCCTGATTTATGACCAGTCTCGATTTTGCGTTCTTCTTTCTTTGGGTCAGTTACAGTTATCATTATGAGGAGTCGATCTTACAGTTTGAAGATCAGTATCAACTGGCTTTTACCTTCAGCTCATGTATTCTGTTCCTTTATTCTGCTTAACAGTTGATGAGGAACATTCTTTTTTTATTTATTGTGTTTTAGATTACATTTTATTTTTACATTTAGTCATTTAGCAGACGCTCTTATCCAGAGCGACTTACAGTTAGTGAGTGCATACATTTTCATACTTTTGCCGTGTGGGAATTGAACCCACAACCTTGGCGTTGCAAGTGCCATTCTCTACCAACTGAGCCACATAGTTAGTATTGGCAATTTTAATATCCCAATGTACTCACAGGTCAGCATGTTGCTGACCACTTATACAATGTTCTGTTGAAAAAATAAATAAAAATCATTCTCTCTCCCTATTCAGATCTCCAGCAGTTCAGGTGATTTAGCACAGCTAGCCTTCAGTACTCAGATCCTGACCTCCCAACCAGAGCGGCTATCAGCTGACAACATCACCACAGCAGCTCAGATAGCTAACACTCTGCTTCAGTCTGTAAATATCACAGAGGTATAACATCTTTTGGAATCAAGTTGTGACTATGACATGTTCTGGAGAGAAACGTGAGGTTGTTACTGCAGTGATTTGAACACTTGAGGGTCATTCCCTGGTTTTGATCATGTTGCAGGACATCGCAGTGGCAGCTGTAACTACCATCAGTCAGCTGCTGAATGCCAGTGGGGAGACTACACAGGAGAGTGATGCTGTCCAGAGGTGTGTGTGTGTGTGTATGTTTTTCTGCATATGTTTGAGTTTATGTGTGTGTGTCTGTGCGTGTCTGCATGGGTGCATGTAAACTAATGTTTTTCTGTGTTTCGTTCCCAGCCTCACAGAGACCCTGGAGGAGTTTTCCCTGGACCAGCAGAATAATGTGTCCTTGGTGGTTCAGCCCAACCTGGTAGTCCAGTCTGTCCAAGTACCAAGTGACACAGTAGGGATCCAGTTTAGTGCTCTGACTGGTGGGTGGGACTGCTAGTGAACCTACATACTGGCATTTAAAGTGATAGTTTATATCTGTGTTGACAGTCTAGTTAAAACTTCTCATTTTTCAAATGTTACTCCTCTGTTGATCAATAAGGTTTTTTTGATTTATTTTACATTTTAGTCATTTTAGCAGACGCTCTTATCCAGAGCGACTTCCAGTTAGTGAGTGCATACATTTTTCATAATAGCACCATGCTCTACCAACTGAGCTACAGGAGGCCTGTACTACGGACAAGTGCAGAAGGAACACTATATTGTTCCTCTTTAAATTTATAAATCAAATTAATCTCCTTCTCCAGGAAGTTCTGGTAATTTTGTGGCCGACAGAATTAATCTCAACACCAATACCTCTGAACTGATAGCTGACAAAGGAGGTGCTACCGATGTCCAGATTGTCATAAAATTCACACCAGGTGAGCCAATGTTGGTATGCAAACAGTATATAAACTCAAGCTTCAATTTCCTTGTAGAGCTTTCACCGAGAGCACTTAACTACTCGTTGTGGTCGCCAAAATCAGGTCAGCAATGCCAAATTGAGTCACATGAGATATGGATAAGTAAACTATGAGAAGTAATGTGGCTTCCACGATAAGTCTACAAGGCAAAGTCAAGCTACTCATGTATATGAAGTCCTGAGATGAACACCAATCTCTCTCTCTCTCTCACCCCCTCTCACTCTCTTTCTCCCTCACTTCACTCAGATTTACATAATAAAAACACAAACTACTCCATTGGTTTTGTGCTCTACCAAAACGACCGGTTCTTCAGGTCCAGGGCATTCACAGCTTCTTCAGGAACCAGCAGAAGGGTCATCTCTGCTAACCTTGGACAAGTGTCTGGGTTGCATGTTGAGATGCTCTTCAAGCCCACAGTAAGATTTATCTTGGACTCAATAAACACATAGTGGTCCAAATTCTCTGGGAACCGTAGTGGGAAGTTTTCCATTATCTAAGTCACGTGTCAAACTCATTCCACGGAGGGTCGAGTGGCTGTGGGTTTTCGCTCCTCCCTTGTAAGGAACTCCCCTCATCTGATTGTCTAGGTCTTAAATTGAAAGGAAAAACCAAAAACCAGCAGACACTAGAATGAGTTTGACACCCCTGATCTAAGTTTTCCATTTTACAGTGAGTTTGTTTCTGTTCTCACTTCTCAGGCTGTCCCCAACGCCTCCCTCTATGACTTTGCCTGCGTGTCGTGGAACTACACGTTGAAAGACTGGAGCACCTATGGCTGCTCCAAAGTCAACAACTCAGCAGACGGCCTGCAATGTTTCTGTAATCACACCACTAACTTCGCTGTGCTTATGGTGAGTAGCTAGCTGCCTTCATCTCCCTTTAACTGACCACACTTTGACCTATGGAAGGGGTTCCCAAACTTTTTTTGGCCCACGTCACCATCTGAAAACTCTCATGACCCCAAACATGTGAATTAGTTTTTTTGTAATTAAGAGCCTATGTTTACTTTTTTATTATGACAGTTAATTGCAAAACATTCTAACAGTATTTCTGATTGTATTCTCAACTCATCATCACATACTTTTAATGTGGGGCTATGACAGTCAATAGCAAAGTGGTCTGACATTAAAATCTCTAATGAGATGGTGATGATGCATGTCGCGTCGGAGCTTCTCAAAGTCAGGGGGTGTGGTTGACAGTGCCCACCTCATCTCTGCTGTCACTTCCAACCTGGATCGATATTTGGTTTTAATGCAGACGAGTGCACTAAATCCAGCCTCACACAGATATTAGCGGGCAAAGGGTACCATGAGTTTTAATGCTCAGAAGGAGACGGCAGGGTGTTCCCTTTGAGTGAGGAACCAAAATGCGTTATCTGTATTATTCGGTCATATGACGGATCGATAAGCTTTCGATTTCACTTATAGGCATGTCAACTGAGGCAGGATCACAGTCAAACAGATTTCTCTCCAATAAGAAGTCTTTCCTCTGAATCCACTGATTCGGTCACTCACCTGTAGAATGTTTTTGTATTTCCCCACGCATGCTTGCTTTCAGTTCGTTCAGTTTCCCAAATATGTCAGTTACAAAGGGAAGGAGACACATTTTCTTTTCATTACACAGAAAGTCAAGTCTTTTTTTTTTTTTTTTTTTTTTTTTACCATTCGTTACCATGGAATCTGTTTTTCTTCAGTATAGCCATGCAGCGCATCCTCTGTACAGTTTCATGCTTGAGAATCGTGAGACAGAACAATACGTCCTCGTGAATACCATCCCCCGACAGGTAGCGAATAAAAGTATATGCATGGGCATCTCGGCCCTCACAACTAACGTCCATTTGGAAAGCAAAAGCTGGGGAGTATTTGAGTGGTTCTGTAGGTTTCATTTGGATTGCTAGCTATAGCATAAATTCTTCATTTTACAGTGTTATCTGACAAAGGTATTGATTAGTGTTTCTGCGCCTCGGTATCCCCACACCTTGTTTTCACCATATTGATTGTTGCGGTAATATCAAATCAAATCAAATCAAATCAAATTTTATTGGTCACATGCGCCGAATACAACAGGTGCAGACATTACAGTGAAATGCTTACTTACAGCCCTTAACCAACAGTGCATTTATTTTAAACAAAAAGTAAGAATAAAACAACAACAAAAAAGTGTTGAGAAAAAAAGAGCAGAAGTAAAAAATAAAGTGACAGTAGGGAGGCTATATATACAATAGAATAAAGTGACAGTAGGGAGGCTATATATACAGGGGGGTACCGTTGCATAGTCAATGTGCGGGGGGCACCGGCTAGTTGAGGTAGTTGAGGTAATATGTACATGTGGGTAGAGTTAAAGTGACTATGCATAAATACTTAACAGAGTAGCAGCAGCGTAAAAAAGGATGGGGTGGGGGGGCAGTGCAAATAGTCCGGGTAGCCATGATTAGCTGTTCAGGAGTCTTATGGCTTGGGGGTAGAAGCTGTTGAGAAGTCTTTTGGACCTAGACTTGGCACTCCGGTACCCGCTTGCCGTGCGGTAGCAGAGAGAACAGTCTATGACTAGGGTGACTGGAGTCTTTGACAATTTTGAGGGCCTTCCTCTGACACCGCCTGGTATAGAGGTCCTGGATGGCAGGGAGCTTTGCCCCAGTGATGTACTGGGCCGTACGCACTACCCTCTGTAGTGCCTTGCGGTCAGAGGCCAAGCAGTTGCCATACCAGGCGGTGATGCAACCAGTCAGGATGCTCTCGATGGTGCAGCTGTAGAATTTTTTGAGGATCTGAGGACCCATGCCAAATCTTTTTAGTCTCCTGAGGGGGAATAGGCTTTGTCGTGCCCTCTTCACGACTGTCTTGGTGTGTTTGGACCATGATAGTTCGTTGGTGATGTGGACACCAAGGAACTTGAAGCTCTCAACCTGTTCCACTACAGCCCCGTCGATGAGAATGGGGGCGTGCTCAGTCCTCTTTTTTTTCCTGTAGTCCACAATCATCTCCTTTGTCTTGGTCACGTTGAGGGAGAGGTTGTTGTCCTGGCACCACACGGCCAGATCTCTGACCTCCTCCCTATAGGCTGTCTCATCGTTGTCGGTGATCAGGCCTACCACTGTTGTGTCGTCGGCAAACTTAATGATGGTGTTGGAGTCGTGCCTGGCCATGCAGTCATGGGTGAACAGAGAGTACAGGAGGGGACTGAGCACGCACCCCTGAGGGGCCCCCGTGTTGAGGATCAGTGTGGCAGATGTGTTGTTACCTACCCTTACCACCTGGGGACGGCCCGTCAGGAAGTCCAGGATCCAGTTGCAGAGGGAGGTGTTTAGTCCCAGGATCCTTAGCTTAGTGATGAGCTTTGAGGGCACTATGGTGTTGAATGCTGAGCTGTAGTCAATGAATAGCATTCTCACGTAGGTGTTCCTCTTGTCCAGGTGGGAAAGGGCAGTGTGGAGTGCGATAGAGATTGCATCATCTGTGGATCTGTTGGGGCGGTATGCAAATTGGAGTGGGTCTAGGGTTTCTGGGATTATGCTGTTGATGTGAGCCATGACCAGTCTTTCAAAGCACTTCATGGCTACAGACGTCAGTGCCACGGGTCGGTAGTCATTTAGGCAGGTTATCTTAGAGTTCTTGGGCACGGGGACTATGGTGGTCTGCTTGAAACATGTTGGTATTACAGACTCAGTCAGGGACATGTTGAAAATGTCAGTGAAGACACTTGCCAGTTGGTCAGCACATGCTCGGAGTACACGTCCTGGTAATCCGTCTGGCCCTGCGGCCTTGTGAATGTTGACCTGCTTAAAAGTCTTACTCACATCGGCCACGGAGAGCGTGATCACATAGTCGTCCGGAACAGCTGGTGCTCTCATGCATGCTTCAGTGTTGCTTGCCTCGAAGCGAGCATAGAAGTGGTTTAGCTCGTCTGGTAGGCTTGTGTCACTGGGCAGCTCGCGGCTGTGCTTCCCTTTGTAGTCTGTAATAGTTTTCAAGCCCTGCCACATCCGACGAGCGTCAGAGCCAGTGTAGTATGATTCAATCTTAGACCTGTATTGACTCTTTGCCTGTTTGATGGTTCGTCGGAGGTCATAGCGGGATTTCTTATAAGCGTCCGGGTTAGAGTCCCGTTCCTTGAAAGCGGCAGCTCTACCCTTTAGCTCAGTGCGGATGTTTCCTGTAATCCATGGCTTCTGGTTGGGGTATGTACGTACGGTCACTGTGGGGACGACATCATCGATGCACTTATTGATGAAGCCAGTGACTGATGTGGTGTACTCCTCAATGCTGTCTGAAGAATCCCGGAACATGTTCCAGTCTGTGCTAGCAAAACAGTCCTGTAGCTTAGCATCTGCGTCATCTGACCACTTTTTTATTAGCCGAATCACTGGTGCTTCCTGCTTCAGTTTTTGCTTATAAGCAGGAATCAGGAGGATAGAGTTATGGTCAGATTTGCCAAATGGAGGGCGAGGGAGAGCTTTGTATGCGTCTCTGTGTGTGGAGTAAAGGTGGTCTAGAGTTTTTTTCCCCTCTGGTTGCACATTTAACATGCTGGTAGAAATGAGGTAGAACGGATTTAAGTTTCCCTGCATTAAAGTCCCCTGCTACTAGGAGCGCTGCATCTGGATGAGCGTTTTCCTGTTGATTAATGGCCTTGTACAACTCATTCAGTGCAATCTTAATGCCAGCATTGGTTTGTGGTGGTAAATAGACAGCTATGAAAAGTATAGATGAAAACTCTCTTGGTAAATAGTGTGGTCTACAGCTTATCATAAGATACTCTACCTCAGGCGAGCAAAACCTTGAGACTTCCTTAGTAATATCTCTGAAATAGTGTGTGGTTTCATTCTGTAGTGGGCCTAGCCATTCACCTGGGAATAGGGTGACCACATGTCCCAGATTGTGCGGGACAGTCCCGCATTTTGGCCCTTTGTCCCGCAACTAAACAATCATGTCCCGCATTTTATCAACAAATTCAAACGCCACCAATTGTAGAAAAAACGTTGATTTGTCCAGTATTTCAGTCAGACATTCCAACCTGTCTCTTGCAGTCACATTGCGCTCATGACAGTTAATTTCCACCTTGTTACTCTCAGATTGTATAAAACATCTAATTGATTGGCTGCAAGTTCAACAATATCTCATAGTTAGGTCTCCTAACTACTTACAAAGAGCTAGAAAAGTAGGTAAACAGCCACATTAGACTGAAAGATATAATCATAGCAGTGGGAAGTAGGGTGCTGCAGCACCTCCTGAAAAATCACAATGACAAAATAATAATAATACATATTTTCACTAAAGTAGTACATTGGGCCTTTACTAGTCCTGTATTAGCAGACCGACATAACCGTTTTTATAGTGCGGGCAAAAAAATAAAACGTGAAGAATTATCATTCACAATTGACAGCGATGATACATTGGCCTATTTCTAAATTAGGTATAGGGTAGGGTAACACTGTCCCGCAAAATCATCCTGTTGTCCCGCATTTGTGTATTTTAAATGTGGTCATCTTAAGTGGGAATGATTCAAGTGGAGCTGTCAAGTGCGGCCTTTTCCCACGATCTAAGGGCGCTCTCTGGTTGAATTTTGCTCTCTGGTTGAATTTTATGTTTTAGATTTGAATAATTTTCATTTAGATTTTTAAGGTTAACCACATTACAATGATTTTGAGATACAAAGACAATATTATAATATTTTATACAAATTACTATTATATATATTTTTTAATGATTTTGAAAATTCTCCTGCGATCCCATTTTCATATCAGGCGAACCCACATCAGGTCGCGACCCCTAGTGTGGGAACCGCTGACCTATAGTTTACATCAGCATATCCAGACACATGAGGGAGATAACTTTATACAGTATGACTGTGACAAACTTAGTGTTACATTTTTCTTTTTTCTTTTCTTTCTACAGTCATTCAGGAATGATTTTAAGTACGCTGAAGTTCTAAACTGGATCACCACATTGGGATGCTCCATGTCCATCATAGGGTTGAGTTTAACAATAACATTCCAGATCGCAACCAGGTAAGATCCTACAGGGTTCCAGAACCAATTCAACATATACAATAACATTCCAGATGGTGACCCGGTAAGATCCTACAGGGTTCCAGAACCATTTCTAAATATACAATAACATTCCAGATTGCAACCAGGTAAGATCCTACATGGTTCCAGAACCAATTCTAAATATACAATAACATTCCAGATCGTGACCCGGTAAGATCCTACAGTATTCCAGAACCAATTCAACATATTGGGTGCATCTCAATAGTGTAAAGAAGCCCTTTGTCTGATCCAACACGACTTGATAGGTGAAACCAATATGAAACCCACTATTAATGAACCAACACATCCATAGCAAGGCATCTAACTTCCCTAACAGTGTTGTCTATCACCTATCCCCAGGAAATCACGCAAAACCAACCCAACGGTCCTTTTAGTGAGCGTCTGCGTGTGTCTCCTGATCTTCACCCTCCTCTTCATGTTGGGGGTGGACAACCCTCATAAACAGCTGGAGAAACCTGAAATACAGGAGGACAACATTCTCCCCCCGTCCGACACACACACAGAGCGGGACAGAGGCCCCTGTACTGCAGTCACAGTCCTGCTGCAGTACTTCCTGTTGGGGACGTTCACCTGGAACACGCTGTACGCCACACATGTCTTCCTGATGATCAGAAACAGCCTGGCCACCAGCCCGTCACACTTCACAGCCTGTACCGTGGCCATCGGATGGGGTAGGACAGCTTGGAGAAAAATAAAATATTTAGTTGTTTCAGAAGCTTTGGCTGGCATTAGTCCTGGGCTCCTTGAACCAAAACGAATGCTAGGTTATATTTTATTTAGCCTAAAATAGAACTTCAAAGCAACTTGTATAGTGATGTTATGTCTTTAGAGGATGTATGTGTAGTATATAATCTGTATATGTCTGCATGCTAATCTACCAGGACATAACAACAACATTCTCTGTCCTTTAGGACTGCCTGCGGTTGTGGTGGCCCTCACCTTAGGAATTAGTTACAGAGTGGATGATCCACTGGGTTACAGGCAGGAGGAATTGTGAGTCAATACTGTACTATACTACTACTGTATTACTTCTCTGTACTGTATTGTATTGTACTATACTATACTGTACTTGAGCGACCCGGCTCAACATACAGTGAGGGGAAAAAAGTATTTGATCCCCTGCTGATTTTGTACGTTTGCCCACTGACAAAGAAATGATCAGTCTATAATTTTAATGGTAGGTTTATTTGAACAGTGAGAGACAAAATAACAAAACAAAAATCCAGAAAAACTCATGTCAAAAATGTTATAAATTGAAATAAACATTTGACCCCCTTTCAATCAGAAAGATTTCTGGCTCCCAGGTGTCTTTTATACAGGTAACGAGCTGAGATTAGGAGCACACTCTTAAAGGGAGTGCTCCTAATCTCAGCTTGTTACCTGTATAAAAGACACCTGTCAACAGAAGCAATCAATCAATCAGATTCCAAACTCTCCACCATGGCCAAGACCAAAGAGCTCTCCAAGGATGTCAGGGACAAGATTGTAGACCTACACAAGGCTGGAATGGGCTACAAGACCATCGCCAAGCAGCTTGGTGAGAAGGTGACACCAGTTGGTGCGATTATTCGCAAATGGAAGAAACACAAAAGAACTGTCAATCTCCCTCGGCCTGGGGCTCCATGCAAGATCTCACCTCGTGGAGTTGCAATGATAATGAGAACGGTGAGGAATCAGCCCAGAACTACACGGGAGGATCTTGTCAATGATCTCAAGCCAGCTGGGACCATAGTCACCAAGAAAACAATTGGTAACACACTACGCCGTGAAGGACTGAAATCCTGCAGCGCCCGCAAAGTCCCCCTGCTCAAGAAAGCACATATACAGGCCCGTCTGAAGTTTGCCAATGAACATCTGAATGATTCAGAGGAGAACTGGGTGAAAGTGTTGTGGTCAGATGAGACCAAAATTGAGCTATTTGGCATCAACTCAACTCGCCATGTTTGGAGGTGGAGGAATACTGCCTATGACCCCAAGAACACCATCCCCACCGTCAAACATGGAGGTGGAAACATTATGCTTTGGGGGTGTTTTTCTGCTAAGGGGACAGGACAACTTCACCGCATCAAAGGGACGATGGACGGGGCCATGTACCGTCAAATCTTGGGTGAGAACCTCCTTCCCTCAGCCAGGGCATTGAAAATGGGTCGTGGTTGGGTATTCCAGCATGACAATGACCCAAAACACACGGCCAAGGCAACAAAGGAGTTGCTCAAGAAGAAGCACATTAAGGTCCTGGAGTGGCCTAGCCAGTCTCCAGACCTTAATCCCATAGAAAATCTGTGGAGAGAGCTGAAGGTTCGAGTTGCCAAACGTCAGCCTCGAAACCTTAATGACTTGGAGAAGATCTGCAAAGACGAGTGGGACAAAATCCCTCCTGAGATGTGTGCAAACCTGGTGGCCAACTACAAGAAACGTCTGACCTCTGTGATTGCCAAAAAGGGTTTTGCCACCAAGTACTAAGTCATGTTTTGCAGAGGGGTCAAATACTTATTTCCCTCATTAAAATGCAAATCAATTTATAACATTTTTGACATGTGTTTTTCTGGATTTCTTTGTTGTTATTCTGTCTCTCACTGTTCAAGTAAACCTACCATTAAAATCATGTCTTTGTCAGTGGGCAAACATACAAAATCAGCAGGGGATCAAATACTTTTTTCCCTCACTGTATTTCCTGGTTTGTGACCCACTGATACCGCCCCCGGTGAGAGAGGAGTAAGGCAGTCCAAAAAGTTAACACACACAGGAACTTTATTCACACACAGGAGAAGATGCACATGGGGATGATTTTTGTAATCACGCATCCCATGCACATGTGTCTACGCTCTGACACTGGAAAAAAACACAGTTCAGGCCCGGCTAATACTGATACGCTAGAAAGAGCATGCAGCGGACCCGACTAGCCAGTGCTGGGCTAGCTTGGAGCATCTGACCAATCACAGGGTGCATGGTCAGTGCATGGGCAGAGTGTGGGGTGCATGGGAACAGTCTGATTGGCTGATGCCACGAGCTGGAAGTGATGGATATCGCTCACATGAACTGAACTGAACTCTATTGTATTATACTGTACTGTACTACCAATATATATGTGGGGCAATTGCTGTATAAAATGTTATAACTCATACTGTAAAAGGTTTTCCCTGTTTTACCTGTCATTCTTTTAACGATGGCTAAAAGAATGATCCATTGTGTTGAAAGGTTTCTTATTTACTTATGCCACCCACCATGTTTACTTTATACCACATTATTCAAATCACTGGTGTCCTGTTTTGTCTGTCACAAAGTCCCACTCTCTAACTCATTCATTTGACCTTTCAGTTGCTGGCTTGCTGCCCTCGATCCAAAGGGGAACTTTGACTTCAAGCTGCCAATGTTTTGGGGGTTCCTGATCCCTGTGGCGTTCATGCTTATCTTCAACATGGTGGTGTTGGTATATTTTGTAGTTACCACATCCAAGACCAACCCACATATAACCAGGTAACATTAAAGGGGGCATTTTGGGGGCACAAAGTAGAACGTTGTAGTCATTAAGATCAGTCTTGATTTAAATGCCTACTAATGAGCTTGTTAATTTTGTATTGTCTTTCAATTAAAACTTTTTATAAATAAAATGCATGCTTTTTTTTATTATTAATTCAGTCATAAGTAAGCAAATTATACAATTTGATGAGCACCATTCTCTAACCCACTCAGTCATTGGAAGCATAATGTTATTTTACCACAGCATTACAGCAGTCTATGACCGCAATCTAAGCATGTTGGTTATATTTCCCAGTACAAGACACACATCGATGAAGAAGAAGTTCCTCAGTAGCTTTTCTCTGGCTGTGGTGCTCGGTCTCTCCTGGATCCTGGGCTATCTGTTGCTCATTACACAGAACCAGACCATGTACACCATACTCAACATCTCCTTCTGTGTACTCACCACCACTCAGGTAGTAAATGTATGCACTCACTACTGTAAGTCGCTCTGGATAAGAGAGTCTGCTAAATGACTCAAATGTTAAATATAAAGACTAGTGTACTATTGTACCACAGAATCCAGACATGATTGAAAACTAGACACCTACTAAACATTAATAAATTCTGCTGCTCTTTATAGAAACGCTACCTTTTGTTTGTACGTGTTTATTCCTGAAAATACTTGATAATGTCTTTGTGTTTTTGTTTTCACTCCACAGGGCTTGCAGGTTTTCATTCTGTTCACAGCAAGAACAGCAATTGTCAAGAAAAAGATGTCAAGTGCTTTGAAATCTGTCTCTAGCGCTGGGATCCCTCTTCACACCAAGAAGTACAGTCTATGGCGAGGCGAGCAAAGTGAAAAAGTAGAATCATACACACAGCAGGACACTGATCTGTCATTTCTACCTTGTTCCTCACAGACATCTAACTGATGGGCTGCAAGTTCAACCTCTGTTGTAAAATATCTCATATACCGCCACTATTTCCTATAATATACAGAATAATACACACCATTTTGTATCAATGTATTTTTACTGTAAATTCCCTCAGAAGTTGTGTTGTCCAAGAATTTTTTGGCTATGCACATACTGTATATACATACTGTATGTGTTTTTTGAAATATAACTGTTTTGAATAAAACTGTGATTATTCTCTTTGAATCGAATGTTTGTTTCAGTATTTTTTGTGAGAAATTACACTACTTTACACAATATCTCAGAAAATATCTTTAGACAGTGTAGCCTAGGGATGTCAAACTACATAATTTTCCCTGCGGGCCACGTTCGTTCTTTACCAAGGCCGCACTTAAAATGTATGAACCTTTTACTGCAGTGGGCTAAATCAGGGTCACACAGAGTGATTCTTGGTTGTCTTGGTTGGTAACAAATCTACCTTCAAACAAAAGTATACACCACACACACATGGTTATGGGCTTAAAAAAAGAAGACACCTGTACAATGCCAGATATAGAGTTGAAATCTATGCCATTTTGAGTTTCCATCCTAATATTACACTTTATATACATCACAGAAGACTGAAATATAACAAAACTGTTTGACATAGAAACACCAGATTTTCATCCTCATAAAATGAAAAACGTATTAATTATGAAATGATTAATAACATTCCACCCATGAGGCCAAAGAGGGCACTTTTGGTCATTGACTGCAGGAAAGGGCTACAAAGCTTCTGCTCCACCAGCCTATATAGCTCAGGCAACAAGCTCCAGCTGCCAATTACATCTGTGGTAGTACAAGGCAACAAAGCAGGTCAGGCTCTGATGCTGCGGGACAGCAAGGATGAGAGGGTTCGCCAGCCAGAGATCAAGGAGGTATGACAGGCTCAGGAAGAAAGCAGGCATGTCAGAGGGAGGTATGAAAGGCTGAGGAAGAAAACAGGTATGTCAGTGGGTGGTATGAAAGGCTGAGGAAGAAACCAGGCATGTCAGAAGGAGGTATGAAAGGCTGAGGAAGAAAACAGACATGTCAGAGGGAGGTATGAAAGGCTCAGGAAGAAAGCAGGCATGTCAGAGGGAGGTATGAAAGGCTCAGGAAGAAAGCAGGCATGTCAGAGGGAGGTATGAAAGGCTGAGGAAGAAAGCAGGCATGTCAGAGGGAGGTCTGAAAGGCTGAGGAAGAAAGCAGGAATGTCAGAAGGAGGTATGAAAGGCTGAGGAAGAAAGCAGGCATGTCAGAGGGAGGTATGAAAGGCTGAGGAAGAAAGCAGGCATGTCAGAGGGAGGTATGAAAGGCTGAGGAAGAAAGCAGGCATGTCAGAGGGAGGTATGAAAGGCTGAGGAAGAAAACAGGCATGTCAGAAGGAGGTATGAAAGGATGAGGACTAAACCAGGCATGTCATGGGGAGGTATGAAAGGCTGAGGAAGAAAGAAGGCATGTCAGAGGGAGGTATGAAAGGTTGAGGACGAATGCAAAACATTTCTGCAGCATTGAAGGTCTCCAAGAAGACAGTGGCCTCCATCATTCTTAAATGGAAGAAGTTTGGAACCACAAAGACTCTTTCTGGAGCTGGCCGCCTGGCCAAACTGAGCAATTGGGAGAGAAGGGCCTTGGTGAGGGAGGTGACCAAGAACCCGGTGGTCATTCTGACAGAGCTCCAGAGTTCTTCTGTGGAGATGGGAGAACCTTCCAGAAGGACAACCATCCCTGCAGACGGAAGCCACTCCTCAGTAAAAGGCACATGATAGCCCGCTTGGAAGAAGGAGTAGCGATTACAGTGTCGTCCGGCTCATAGAAGGCACAGGGTGGCGAGTACCTGTCAGGTGAGCCGACAGCGATGTATTTTAGATATTATACTTCCTCACAGTCAACATTTGCTAAAGATAGTCCTCTATCCAGCGCTTTTGGAATTTTCCAGGCTGCCTGAATGTCTAGGTTTTGTTAAGATCACTTTTAGCAAGCTGGGCAGAGTGAAGAGACTATAAATGTTGATCCATTATCATTTCAACACAATTTCGATTTGGTTTGAGTCATTTCACTGTCGTTTGAGATAAAAAAAAAATATAATAATCAGAAGAATGAAATGAATTATTCTGGGCCGGAATGAATGGGCTCGCGGGCCCATATCCAATCGATACTAGCCTAAACTAGACCTAGGAAAAACAAGAGTACAGTAGTTGCCTAAAGAATGACTGTGACCTAAAGGGGTGATGTTGATGTCACCAGGAATTATGAAGTTCACACTGTACTGTATATCTGCGTTGTGCTCCTCAAACAAAGTCTGATGTAGAGTTTATACTAATTCTTATTTACATATGATTTGGTTTTCCTCTACCTCAACAGGCACTATTATTGTCACTATATATGACAGTTAGGATATCTCCTTAGTAGGGTTGCAATAGTCCATGAATTTACAATAAATTACATGGTTTTCCCAAAATCCTGGTTGGAGGTTTCCCTGTGTCAGGAAGGAATAAGCAGGAAATCCTGAATCCTCAAACCATGATTTTTGGATAACCAGGGAATTTATTGAAAGTTACTGGAATTTTGCAACACTACTCATTAGGTAGCCAGCGGTGTATCACATTCCCACCATTAGTAAGTCTCAATGCTTTGAAGTATGCATGTCACTGTGTATTTATTCCTTCTGTCACTATGTCTATTTTTGATGTTTAACTCTGCATTGTTGGAAAAGGACCCATAAGTAAGCATTTCACTGTTAGTCTACACCTGTTGTTCACGAAGCATGTGACAAATAAAATATGATTAGATGTTGACGAAGCCTCCTCTGTCTCTACCTTCAACTGCCATGTTGTGGCGCCAATACTCTTCCTATAAAGGGGGATTTCTTATGGATAGTGGAATGGTCCATCTAAACTGTTCACCGGTTTTCCTCATCAATGTGCAGATAGGTAGAGATGTTTATAAAAACACTTTTAGCATATTCACTTTCGCTTATAGACTGTATGTCTAATTTCAAGAATTCAAGGTTCATTTGTTTCATAAGGTTCATTTAGGGGTACATTCTTAGAGAACTGCTAAACATTTTGCCCACAATTATAGGGAAAAAAGTGACAGTTCAATAAAAAGTGTTTCTTTATTATTAATGGGTGGTCCCGGGTTCAATCCCCGGGACCACCCATACGTAAAAATGTATGCACACATGACTGTAAGTCGCTTTGGATAAAAGCGTCTGCTAAATGGCATATTATATTATATAGGGCTACATTCTTGGAGAACTACTATACATTTTGCCAAAAAAAGTGACAGTTCAATAAAAAGTGTTTCTTTATTATTAAAAACAATGAGTTCAGCCTTTGAGCCTTCATTAGGGCCATGCACCTTGGTTGGACTGCAAATAGTGACAGACTGTATACTTCTATTTTGCATACTTTTATTTTGCATGTCGGTTAGAGTCAGAGTAAGTCATCACATCTCAGTGAGCTGTTGTGTGCGAACCATCCCTCATGTTTGGCATCAGCGGAGGGTTCTCAGGATGTACACTGACTGGTAACAGTGAGTGAAGGGCTGACATGGCTCGTCTGCCCTTTTTATGTGCACATGATCTGGCTCCTCTTAGCTGCCCAGGTGACGGTGAGCCAGCTGAACCTGGTGTCCCACAGCGTGGTGGCTGCTCCCTACCAATGGGAGTACCCCTACCTGCTCAGTATCATCCCCTCCCTCTTCAGCTTCATGGCCCTGCCCAAAAACAACATCAGCTACCTGTTGATCTCCATGACCAGTGCTGGGTTCTTCTGCATAGCGCCGCTCATCTACGGGGCTATGGAGATGTTCCCGGTGGTGAATCCAATGTTTTTAGATTTGTGGATGAAGTAGTGAAGGACTGTACATTTCAGGAGGAAGGAGATATTACTGGGACCTCCCCATGACTAGGTCAGGGCATGATGTGGCCTTAATGAGAGGAGCCTTCCAGAACTGTAAAGGAACAGGGAAAGGGTTAAGAGAAGGGAATAGCAGTTGTCAGATTGAGTCCATATGGTTGTGTGCTGGTGTCAATGCACATGTTCACGTTGACAGTACTTAACAATTACATTGTTTCTAAATGACATGTACATTGTTAAATAACAATAAAATGGGTATGCTGCGGCAGCTTTGCATCTATTGTCTATTTCATTAATTACATGAATTAATCACAACAATGTAAAGGCACCATTTGTCATCTCTGCAGTTGGGTTCATCTTTCCTATTACCATGGTTCCTTTAGAAACAAGTGCCTTTCATTGGAACTGTTTACTCTCAGTATACGATGAGCTTTGTGTTACATGCACCTCAGCATAGTACCTATGCTCTAGAACAGGGTTTCCCATTTTGGTTTTTGTTCTAGCACTACATTGCTGATTCAAATATACAAACCTTGACGATGAGTTGGTTATTTGAATTAACTGTGTAGTGCTAGTGCAAAAACCAAAACATGCACCCAGGTAGGCCCCAGGACCGAGTTTGGGAAACCTTGTTCAAGAGAAGTCTACCGTCTAGTGCCCTCAAATTCTAATCCAGACATCCAAGCCAGTTCCATTGCTTTTCAAAAATATTATTCCCCTCTAATCAGGAAATCTAATTACACCTGCTCTAGTGGAAAAAAGTTGTTATGTTTACCGAAACAAGTTCTGTACCTTCCCAGCTGCAACCAAGAATGTTTTGCATAGAGAAGGGTAATGCTATTGGTTGACTGGTCCTGACAGGTGAAGAACAGAGCAGTATAAGACCAATAGACGTCCTAATAATGTGCAGTCTGCTTACACTGCATGCCTGGAAACAGCAGAGATGAAGGAGCTATGGATTATGGCTGTCTTTGCTACAGGTAAGACTTGCACTACATTTGAATTATTCAGGGTGATTTAAGATGTTCAGATGTACACTGAGTGGACAAAACATTAAGAACACATGCCCTTTCCATGACATACAGTGCTTTCGGAAAGTATTCAGACCCCTTCACTTTTTCCACATTTTGTTACGTTACAGCCTTATTCTAAAATCGATTAAATTGTTTTTGTTCTTCATCAATATACACACAATACCACATAATGACAAAGCAAAAACAGGTTTTTAGACATTTTTGCTGATTAATAAAAAATAAAAAACTGAAATATTATTTTTACTTAAGTATTCAGACCCTTTACTCAGTACTTTGTTAAAACACCTTAGCCAGATATGACAGCATCGAGTCTTAGGTATGACGCTACAAGCTTGGCACACCTGTATTTGGGGAGTTATTCCATTCTTCTCTGCAGATACTCTCAAGTTCTGTCAATTTGAAAGGGGAGCATTTCTGTACAGCTATTTTCAGGTCTCTCCAGAGATGTTCGATCGGGTTCAAGTCCGGGCTCTGGCTGGGCCACTCAAGGATATTCAGAGACTTGTCCCAAAGCAACTCCTGCATTGTCTTGGCTGTGTGCTTAGGTCGTTATCTTCTTGTAAGGTGAACCTTCACCCCAGTCTGAGGTCCTGAATGCTCTGGAGCAAGTTATCAAGTTAGGGTCAAGTTATCAGATGTGCAATAAATGTATGACGCATTTAACTTATCAATTGAGTATTACCAATTTATGACTTTACCGTTTTTACAGTTTGGTTTATGAATTTTAAAGTTTGGTTTATAGACAATGATTGACTGATGTTTTGTCTGTTTGCTGCGAGGGATACAATAACATCAATAAAGACATTGTTTCAGAGTTTATTTTTATCCAAACACTATTTAGATGTACTGTTAAGCTGTTTACATACTGTGAATAGACTACTGTCAGGTCTCAGATACAGTTGATAACAGAGTAGCTTTTGCTATCAAATGTCTACCGTTTATTGGCAGTGATAAAGACTTCTTTCTCTCATAAAGTACAGTAGAAAACATTTCTACACTGGTGCAGAAACACAATGAAACTGGAACAACATGGATCATCTGCTATGCTTATAGCAACTGACACTATGTACCCTTGTTTATGTGGTTTACTGAGGTAAATATTTTTTGGGGGGCAGTCTCTTTGCTACACAGGGATCTCACCACATCCTCTGCCATTCCAACCACCATTGACATAACTACTCCAGCTACTGCTGCCCCTACCTCTACCCCTATCACCAGTACCACTCTCCCCACCACCTCTACCCCTACCCCCAAAACCACCTCTCCCACCACCAATTTTACAACCACCTCTCCCACCACAACCCCTCCTCTGGTCTGTATCAATGGTGGTGAGCTGGAGAGTGGAGACTGTATCTGTCCTGATGAGTGGACCGGAGAGACCTGTTCAGAGGGTAAATCCACACACTTACACTATACCTAACCCTGGATCTCACATTCAGAGTCCACAACACTATTCCTTGGATCTCACATTCAGAATGGATATTTCATGTTTAGTCATACATTTGGTCCATGTTGAAATGTATTTTACTTCGATAGAGAATTTCTGCAATTCAACCATCAAGGATGGATTCTCCTTCCCAAGAACAATGGTTGACTTGTCTGCTTATTCAAAAGAGGAGTGTGGTGAGAATACAGCCAGTGGTATGTTACTTTTATTCACCTAAACTGACAAAATGTATTATTCTGTTACAGTCCTAATTAATGGTGTATAAGGTAACACAAAATCTTGAATATCTTTTTATATTGGTTCCTCCAGCCGGATTACCAGCAGCCTTCGCAGAATGTTCGAATGACACTGGATCTCTGATGTTTGGTTATCCTGTGGAGTTGGACTGTGAATTGACCCTCAGTGACATTCAAGGAAATGTAAGTCAATATTATTTTTTATTTATGATCCTGATTTATGACAAGTCTCAATTTTGCGTTCTTCTTTCTTTGGGTCAGTTACAGTTATCATTATGAGGAGTCGATCTTACAGTTTGAAGATCAGTATCAACTGGCTTTTACCTTCAGCTCATGTATTCTGTTCCTTTATTCTGCTTAACAGTTTTTTTTCTTTCTTGTGTTTTACATTACATTTAGTCATTTAGCAGACACTCTTATCCAGAGTGACTTACAGTAGTGAGTGTATACATTTTCATACTGGTCCCCCGTGGGAATCGAACCCACAACCCTGGCGTTGCAATTGCCTTGCTCTACCAACTGAGCCACGTAGTTAGTATTGTCAATTTTAATATCCAAATATACTCACAGTTCAACATGTTCCTGCCACTTATACAAAAACAATACAATACTACACTAAATAAAAATCATTCTCTCTCCCTATTCAGATCTCCAGCAGTTCAGGTGATTTAGCACAGCTAGCCTTCAGTACTCAGATCCTGACCTCCCAACCAGAGCGGCTATCAGCTGACAACATCACCACAGCAGCTCAGATAGCTAACACTCTGCTTCAGTCTGTAAATATCACAGAGGTATAACATGTTTTGGAATCAAGTCGTGACTATGACATGTTCTGGAGAGAAACGTGAGGTTGTTATTGCAGTGATTTGAACACTTGTGGGTAATTCCCTGGTTTTGATTATGTTGCAGGATATCGCAGTGGCAGCTGTAACTACCATCAGTCAGCTGCTGAATGCCAGGAATGAGAGTGCAAAGCAGAGAGACGCTGTCCAGAGGTGTGTGTGTGTGTGTGCTGCATATGTTTGAGTTTATGTGTGTACGTGTGTCTCTGTGCGTGTCTGCATGGGTGCATGTAAACTAATGTTTTTCTGTGTTTCTCTCCCAGACTCACAGAGACCCTGGAGGAGTTTTCCCTGGACCAGCAGAGTGACGTGTCCTTGGTTCAGCCCAACCTGGTAGTCCTGTCTGTCCAAGTACCAAGTGACACAGTAGGGATCCAGTTTACTGCTCCGACTGGTGGGTGGGACTGCTAGTGAACCTACATACTGGCATTTAAAGTGATAGTTTATACAGTGGGGAGAACAAGTATTTGAAACACTGCCGATTTTGCAGGTTTTCCTACTTACAAAGCATGTAGAGGTCTGTAATTGCATTGTATGATTTTTAAGTAATTAATTAGCATTTTATTGCATGAGATAAGTATTTGATACATCAGAAAAGCAGAACTTAATATTTGGTACAGAAACCTTTGTTTGCAATTACAGAGATCATACGTTTCCTGTAGGTCTTGACCAGGTTTGCACACACTGCAGCAGGGATTTTGGCCTACTACTCCATACAGACCTCCAGATCCTTCAGGTTTCGGGGCTTTCGCTGGGCAATACAGACTTTCCCCTCCCTCCAAAGATTTTCTATTGGACTCAGGTCTGGAGACTGGCTAGGCCACTCCAGGACCTTGAGATGCTTCTTACGGAGCCACTCCTTAGTTCCCCTGGCTGTGTGTTTCGGGTCGTTGTCATGCCGGAAGACCCAGCCACGACCCATCTTCAATGCTCTTACTGATGGAAGGAGGTTGTTGGCCATGATCTCGCGATACATGGCCCCATCCATCCTCCCCTCAATACGGTGCAGTCGTCCTGTCCCCTTTGCAGAAAAGCATCCCCAAAGAATGATGTTTCCACCTCCATGCTTCATGGTTGGGATGGTGTTCTTGGGGTTGTACTCATCCTTCTTCTTCCTCCAAACACCGCGAGTGGAGTTTAGACCAAAAAGCTATATTTTTGTCTCATCAGACCACATGACCTTCTCCCATTCCTCCTGTGGATCATCCAGATGGTCATTGGAAAACTTCAGACGGGCCTGGACATGCGCTGGCTTGAGCAGGGGGACCTTGCGTGCGCTGCAGGATTTTAATCCACAACGGCATGGTGCTTTACTAATGGTTTTCTTTGAGACTGTGGTCCCAGCTCTCTTCAGGTCATTGACCAGGTCCTGCCGTGTAGTTCTGGGCTGATCCCACACCTTCCTCATGATCATTGATGCCCCACGAGGTGAGATCTTGCATGGAGCCCCAGACCGAGGGTGATTGACCGTCATCTTGAACTTCTTCCATTTTCTAATAATTGCGCCAACAGTTGTTGCCTTCTCACCAAGCTGCTTGCCTATTGTCCTGTAGCCCATCCCAGCCTTGTGCAGGTTTACAATTTTATCCCTGATGTCCTTAAACAGCTCTCTGGTGTTGGCCATTGTGGAGAGGTTGGAGTCTGTTTGATTGAGTGTGTGGGCAGGTGTCTTTTATACAGGCAACGAGTTCAAACAGGTGCCGTTAATACAGGTAATGAGTGGAGAACAGGAGGGCTTCTTAAAGAAAAACTAACAGGTCTGTGAGAGCCGGAATTCTTACTGGTTGGTAGGTGATCAAATACTTATGTCATGCAATAAAATGCAAATTAATTACTTAAAAATCATACAATGTGATTTTCTGGATTTTTGTTTTAGATTCCGTCTCTCACAGTTTAAGTGTACCTATGATAAAAACTACAGACCTCTACATGCTTTGTAAGTAGGAAAACCTGCAAAATTGGCAGTGTATCAAATACTTGTTCTCCCCACTGTATCTGTGTTAACAGACTGGTTAAACTTCTTAAAATCTTATTTTTCATATGTTTCTCCTCTACTGTTGGTCAATAAGGTTTGGTATGGATTTGATTTGTTGTACTACAGACAAGTACAGAACAGTCGAGGCTGCTGAGGGGAGGACGGCTCATAATAATGGTTGGAACGGAGCGAATGGAATGGCATCAAACACATGGAAACCATGGAAAACACGTGTTTGAAGTATTTGATACCATTCCACTGATTCCGCTCCAGCCGTTACCATGAACCCGTCCTCCCCAATTAAGGTGCCACCAACCTCCTGTGGTACAGAACGAACACTATATTGTTCAGCTTAAAATGTCTAAATCAAATTAATCTCCTCCAGGAAGATCTGGTAATTTTGTGGCCAACAGAATTAATCTCATCACTAATACCTCTGAACTGATAGCTAACAAAGGAGGTGCTACCGTTGTCCAGATTGTTATCAAATTCCCACCAGGTGAGCCAATGTTGGTATAATTACAAACATAGTTTATAAACTCAAGCTTCAATTCCCTTATACAGCTTTCACCAAGAGTGCTTAACTGCTCGTTGTGTATATGAAGTCCTGATATGAACAACAATCTCTCTCTTTCTCTCCCACCTCTCTCTCTTTCTCACTTTCTCCCTCTCTCTCCCCTCTTTCTCCTTCACTCCACTCAGTTATACGTAGTAAAAACAAAAACAACTCCATTGGTTTTGTGCTCTACCAAAATGACCAGTTCTTCAGGTCCAGGACTTTCAGAGCTTCTTCAGGAACCAGCAGAAGGGTCATCTCTGCTAACCTTGGACAAGTGTCTGGGCTGCATGTTGAGATGCTCTTCAAGTCCACAGTAAGATTTCTATTGGAATCGGTAAACGCATAGTGGTCCAAATTCTCTGGGAAATTTAATGGGAAGTTTTCCATTATGTACAGTACATTCGGAAAGTATTCAGACCCATTCACTTTTTCAACATTTTGTTACGTTACAGCCTTATTCTAAAATTGATTAAATTATTTTTTTCCTCATCAATCTACACACAATACCCCATAATGACAAAGCAAAAACAGGTTTTTAGAAATGTTTGTAAATTTATTACAAATAAAAAACTGAAATATGACATTTACATAAGTATTCAGACCCTGTACTCAGTACTTTGTTGAAGCACCTTTGGCAGCGATTACAGCCTTGAGTATTCTTGGGCATGACGCTGCAAGCTTGGCACACCTGTATTTGGGAAGTTTCTCCCATTCTTCTCTGCAGATCCTCTCAAGCTCTGTCAGGTTGGATGGGGAGCGTCGCTGCACAGCTATTTTCAGGTCTCTCCAGAGATGTTCGATCGGGTTCAAGTCCGGGCTCTGGCTGGGCCACTCAAGGACATCCAGAGACTTTTCCGGTAGCCACTCCTGCACTGTCTTGGCTGTGTGCTTAGGGTCGTTGTCCTGTTGGAAGGTGAACCTTCGCCCCAGTCTGAGGTCCTGAGCGCTCTGGAGCAGGTTTTCATCAAGGATCTCTCTGTACTTTGCTCCGTTCAACTTTCCCTCAATTCTGACTAGTCACACTGCCGCTGAAAAACATACCCACAGCATGATGCTGCCACCACCATGCTTCACCGTAGGGATGGTGCCAGGTTTCCTCCAGACGTGACGCCTGGCATTCAGGCCAAAGGGTTCAATCTTGGTTTCATCAGACCAGAGAATCTTGTTTCTCATGGTCTTAGAGTCCTTTAGGTGCCTTTTGGCAAACTCCAAGCGGGCTGTCATGTGCCTTTTACTGAGAAGTGGCTTCCGTCTGGCCACTCTACCATAAAGGTCAGATTGGTGGAGTGCTGCAGAGATGGTTGTCCTTCTGGAAGGTTCTCCCATCTCCACAGAGGAACTCTGGCGCTCCCTTCTCCCCCGATTGCTCAGTTTGGCTGGGCGGCCAGCTCTAGGAAGAGTCTCTATGGTTCCAAACTTCTTCCATTTAAGAATGATGGAGGCCACTGTGTTCTTGGGGACATTCAATGCTGCAGACATTTTTTGATACCCTTCTCCAGATATGTGCCTCGACACAATCCTGTATCGGAGCTCTACGGACAATTCCTTCGACCTCATGGCTTGGTTTTTGCTCTGACATGCACTGTCAACTGTGGGACCTCATATAGACAGGTGTGTGCCTTTCCAAATCATGTCCAATCAAAAGAATGTACCACAAGTGGATCCCAATCAAGTTGTAGAAACATCTCAAGGATGATCAATGGAAACAGGATGCACCTGAGCTCAATTTCACGTATCATAGAAAAGGGTCTAAATACTTATGTAAATAAGATATTTCTGGGTTTTTTTAAACCTGTTTTCGCTTTGTCATTATGGGGTATTGTGTGTAGATTGCTGAGGATCTATTTGTTATTTAATCAATTTTAGAAGAAGGCTGTAACGCCCAAAAAATGTGGAAAAAGTCAACGGGTCTGAATACTTTTCGAATGCACTGTAGGTCACGTGTCAAACTCATTGCACGGAGTACGTGATTGATAATTAAGGTCACTGATTAGTAAGAAACTCCCCTCATCTGATTGTCTAGGTCTTAATTGAAAACAAAAAACTAAAACCAGCAGACACTAGGCCCTCCATTGAATGAGTTTGACACCCCTGATCTAAGTTATCCATTGACGCTTATCCGCCACAATGAACAAGGAAGCATATTTTGGCCAGTGAACAAGGAAGCATATGTTGTCTTGTATATAATATGATCTATCATAATTGAAACTTCTTCTTTCCCACATTTAAGTAATGACCTATTATATTTCACAATTGACTTAATTTTTTTTTTTTTATGAGGAACTTTGTGAATGCATGTCTTTTGCTGAAGGATTTACATTGAGTTTGTTTTTGTTCTCACTTCTCAGGCTGTCCCCAACGCCTCCCTCTATGACTTTGCCTGCGTGTGGTGGAACTACACGTTGAAAGACTGGAGCACCTCTGGCTGCTCCAAAGTCAACCACTCAGAAGACGGCCTGCGATGTTTCTGTAATCACACCACTAACTTCGCTGTGCTTATGGTGAGTAGCTAGCTGCCTTCATCTCCCTTTAACTGACCACACTCTGACCTTTGGAAGGGGTTCCCAAACATTATTGGCCCACAACCCTGTTTTGATATCTGAAAATTCTCATGACCCAAACCATGTGAATTTTCTTTTGTAATTAAGAGCCAATGTTTACTTTTTTATATGGGGTTATGACAATCAATTGCAAAACATTCAGTATTTCTGATTGTCTTCTCAACTCACCATCACATACTTTTAATGTGGGGCTATGACAGTCAATAGCAAATTGGTCTGACATAATGTCTCTTATCTCATCACCACTAATGAGATGATGAGATCAGAGACATGATGCATGTCGCATTGGAGCTTCTCAAAGTCAGGGGGTGTGGTTGACAGTGCCCACCTCATCTCTGCTGTCACTTCCAACCTGGATCGATATTTGGTTTTAATGCAGACGAGTGCACTAAATCCAGCCTCACACAGATATTAGCGGGCAAAGGGTACCATGAGTTTTAATGCTCAGAAGGAGACGGCAGGGTATTCCCTTTGAGTGATGAACCAAAATGGGTTATCTGCAGCATTCTGTCATATGACGGCTCGATTAGTTTTCATTTTCACTTACCGCTATGTCAACTGAGGCAGAATCACAGTCAAACAGATTTCTCTCCAATAAGAAATCTTTCCACTGAATCCACTGATTCGGTCACTCATCTGTAGAATGTTTTTTGTATTTCCCCTGCATGCTTGCGTTCAGTTTGTTCAGTTTCCCAAATGTGTCAGTTACATATGCAAGGGGACACATTTTATTTTCATTACACAGAAAGTCAACAAAGTCTGTCTGTTTATTTGCCCACCATTCAATCCCATGGAATCTGTTTTTCTTCAGTATAGCCATGCAGCGCATCCTCTGTACAGTTTCATGCTCTATATGTCCTTGTGAATAGCATCCCCCGACATTTAGCGAACAAAAGTAAATGAATGGGCATCTCGGCCCTCAGAACTAACTTCCATTTGGAAAGCTGGAGAGTTTTTTAGTGGTTCAGTAGGTTTCATATTGATTGCTAGCTATAGCATTAATTCTTACTTTTACAGTGTTATCTGACAAAGGTATTGATGTGAGTTTCTGTGACTCGGCCTCCCCACACCTTGTTTTCACCATATCGATTGTGGCGGTAATATCTCTGAAATAGTGTGTGGTTTCATTCTGTAGTGGGCCTAGCCATTCACCTGGGAATAGGGTGACCACATGTCCCAGATTGTGCGGGACAGTCCCGCATTTTGGCCCTTTATCAAGCAACTAAACAATCATGTCCCGCATTTTATCAACAAATTCAAACACCACCAATTTTAGAAAAAACTTTGATTTGTCCAGTATTTCGGTCAGACATTCCAACCTGTCTCTTGCAGTCACATTGCGCTCATGACAGTTAATTTCCACCTTGTTACTCACAGATTGTATAAAACATCTAATTGATTGGCTGCAAGTTCAACAATATCTCATAGTTAGGCCTCCTAACTGCTTACAAAGAGCTTCTGCTGAAGAGCTAGAAAAGTAGGTAAATAGCCACATTAGACTGAAAGATATAATCAAAGCAGCAGGAAGTTGAGTGCTGAGGGTGTTGCAGCAGCCCCTGAGAAATCACAATGACACAATAATAATAATACATATTTTCACTAAAGTAGTGCATTGGGCCTTTACTAGTCCTGTATTAGCAGACCGATATAACCGTTTTATAGTGCGGGCAAAAAAATTAAACATGAAGAATCAGCATTCACAATTGACAGTGATGATGCATTGGCCTATTTTTAAATTATGTATCGGGTAGGCTACACTGTCCCGCAAAATCATCCTGTTGTCCCGCATTTGTGTATTTTAAATGTATTTTAAATGTTCCTTAAGTGGGAATGATTCAAGTGCAACGGTCAAGTGAGGCCTTTTCCCACGATCTAAGGGAGCTCTCTGGTTGAATTTTCAATTTCAATTTTTAAGGTTAACCACATTACAATGATTTTGAGATCCAAAGACAATGTGGTTTACCACAGCTTATCCAGACACATGAGGGAGATAAATTTATACAGTATGACTGTGACAAACTTAGTGTTGAAATGTATTTTTTTTATTTTCTTTCTACAGTCGTTCAGGAGGGATTTTAAATACGCTCATGCTCTAAACTGGATCACCACATTGGGATGCTCCATTTCCAGCATAGGGTTGAGTTTAACAATAACATTCCAGATCGTGACCCGGTAAGATCCTACAGGGTTCCAGAACCAATTCAAAATATTGGGTGCATCTCAATAGTGTGAAGAAGCCCTTTGTCTGATCCAACATGACTTGATAGGTGAAATCAATATGAAACCCACTATTAATGAACCAACACATCCATAACTACGCATCTAACTTCCCTAACATCTATCACCTATCCCCAGGAAAAAACGCAAAACCAACCCAACGGTCCTCTTAGTGAGCATCTGCGTGTGTCTCCTGATCTTCACCCTCCTCTTCGTGTTGGGAGTGGACAACCCTCATAAACAGCTGGAGAAACCTGAAATACAGGAGGCCAACATTCTCCCCCCATCCAACACACACACAGAGCGGGACAGAGGCCCCTGTACTGCAGTCGCAGTCCTGCTGCAGTACTTCCTGTTGGGGACGTTCACCTGGAACACACTGTACGCCACACATGTCTTCCTGATGATCAGAAACAGCCTGGCCACCAGCCCGTCACACTTCACAGCCTGTACCGTGGCCATCGGATGGGGTAGGACAGCTTGGAGAAAAATAAAATATTTAGTTGTTTCAGAAGCTTTGGCTGGCATTAGCCCTGGGCTCCTTGCACCAAAACGAATGCTAGGTTATATTTTCAGGCTCTAATAAGCCTGAAATAGAACTTAAAAGCAACTTGTATAGTATTGTTATGTCTTTAGAGGATGTATGTGTAGTATATAATCTGTAAATGTCTGCATGAAAATCTACCAGGAATTAACAACAACATTCTCTGTCCTTTAGGACTGCCTGCGGTTGTGGTGGCCCTCACCTTAGGAATTAGTTACAGAGTGGATGATCCACTGGGTTACAGGCAGGAGGAATTGTGAGTCAATACCGTATTTTACTATACTATACTTTACTATACTGTACTGTACTTGAAAGAGAGCGACCCGGCTCGACGTATTTACTGGTTTGTGAACCACTGCATGGGCAGAGTGTGGGGTGCATGGGAACAGTCTGATTGGCTGATGCCACGAGCTGGAAGTGATGGATATCGCTCACATGAACTGAACTGAACTCTATTGTATTATACTGTACTGTACTACCAATATACATGTGGGGCAATTGCCGTATAAAATGTTATAACTCATACAGTAAAAGGTTTTCACAATCAATTTTCATATTGTATGCTTTTAACGATGGCAACGAGCAATTTAAAAAGTTGTAAAAACGAAACGAATGATCCATTGTGTTGAACGGTTTCTTGTTTACTTATGCAATCCACCATGTTTACTTTATACCACGTTATTCAAATCACTGGTGTCCTGTTTTGTCTGTCACATAGTCCCACTCTCTAACTCATTCATTTGTCCCCTCAGTTGCTGGCTTGCTGCCCTCGATCCAAACGGGAACTTTGACTTCAAGCTGCCAATGTTTTGGGGGTTCCTGATCCCTGTGGCGTTCATTCTTATCTTCAACATGGTGGTGTTGGTATATTTTGCAGTTACAACATCCAAGACCAACCCACATATAACCAGGTAACATTAATGGGGGCATTTTGGGGGCACAAAGTGGAAAGTTGTAGTCATAAAGATCAGTCTTGATTGAAATGCCTACTAACGAGCTTGTTAATTTTGTATTGTCTTTCAATTAAAACTTTTTATATATAAAATGCATGCTTTTTTTATTATTAATTCAGTCATTAGTAACCTATTCATACTATTTAATGAGCACCATGCTCTAACCCACTCAGTCATTGGAAGCATACTGTTATTTTACCACAGCATTACAGCAGTCTATGACTGCAATCTAAGCATGTTGGTTTTGTTTCCCAGTACAAGACACACATCGATGAAGAAGAAGTTCCTCAGTAGCTTTTCTCTGGCTGTGGTGCTCGGTCTCTCCTGGATCCTGGGCTATCTGTTGCTCATTACACAGAACCAGACCATGTACACCATACTCAACATCTCCTTCTGTGTACTCACCACCACTCAGGTAGTAAATGTATGCACTCACTACTGTAAGTCGCTCTGGATAAGAGAGTCTGCTAAACGACTAAAATGTTAAATATAAAGACTAGTGTACTATTGTACCACAGAATCCAGACATGATTGAAAACTAGACAGCTACTAAACATTAATAAATTCTGCTGCTCTTTATAGAAACGCTACCTTTTTGTTTGTACGTGTGTGTTCCTGAAAATACTTGATAATGTCTTTGTATTTTTGTTTTCGCTCCACAGGGCTTGCAGATTTTCATTCTGTTCACAGCAAGAACAGAAATTGTCAAGGAAAAGATGTCAAGTGCTTTGAAATCTGTCTCTAGCGCTGGGATCCCTCTTCACACCAAGAAGTACAGTCTATGGCGAGGCGAGCAAAGTGAAAAAGTAGAATCATACACACAGCTGGACACTGATCTGTCATTTCCACCTTGTTCCTCACAGACATCTAACTGATGGGCTGCAAGTTCAACCTCTGTTGTAAAATATCTCATAATATTGTACTGTAATATACAATATAATACACACACTATTTAGTATCAACGTACAATATATGTACAGTGAATTCCCTCAGAAGTTGTGTTGTCCAATGATTTTTTGAATAAATGTTGGCAATAAATCTGTGATTATTGTCTTTTAAGCTAATGTTTGTTTAGTATTCTTAGTGAGAAAAAGCACTATTTTACACAATATCTCAGAATACAGCTTTAGACAGTGTATCCCAGCGGTGTCAAACTAATTCTCCCTGCAGGCCACATTTGGTCATTACCGAGGTCCGGAGGGACGCATTGTGGGGATCTATTCTCTTACAACTAGAAGTGATGCCTAGCTTAAAAAGAATACATTAATGATTAAACCTAATAGGTTTGTGCTGTACTGATATAGATTGTTTAACATAACAAGCTGTGACTAATGTGAGGAACCGGTAGGGGGGAGGCTGAGATAGACTTGTGACACACACACACTGCCTCTTTGTTAAACCGCTCAAGGACAAAGTACTGCAATATGAAGAAGAGGAAACTGTATCAATGGTTGCTTACTCTCGAGACAAGCTGACAACCAACACCCGGTGACAGTGACGCGCCAAGAGGCTGGGACCAGCCTGTGCGCCATCGATAGCCTGAGTAAGTTTAAACCACGCTCAGCCTCTACTCTGATAGGCCTGCTTGGAGCAGGAACTATCTCTGTCAGAGTATTAAAAGAAGAACTTTGGGTTGGGACAGTTAGTTCTATGTTAGTCCTGTGAGGTGTTACAGTGAGCCCGTTTATACGAAGGTTGCATTTACCATTTGTTTGCTTGACTAATTATATTAATAAAAACCTGAAAATATATTCAGTGACTTAGTGTTGAACTCTGTTCTGATACCAGATTCGAATGACGCAACTTAACAGCATTTAAAATTGATTAAGAAGCGTCTGCTCCATCTGCCTGTACAGCACAGGCAGCAAGCTGCAGGTCCCCAACCCTATACCCTAGACACCCACCTGAGCGTCCCATACAGTAAGGAGAAGTCCTTATCTGTTTTATGGGCCTACTGTAAGTAGCCTATACGCAGCCAAGACAGAAAGATGGATGCGGTCAGAGACCTACTAAAGCAGCACCGCCCCCTCAAGATTCTGAGCCTGCCTGGCAGCGTTGGTCCTACAAAGCCAAAGCCCCCTGATGGGAGAGCATAATATACAAGGAAATTCTCAAAGCTACTAATGAGACCTTGATGACCTTGTACCTAGCCGGTGGGGATTCCGGTGGGGAACCCCCACCCAGGTAGTGGCAGTGCTGGCAACACTAGCTGCAGTAACCCATGGGAAGGGGGTCACACTCTGACATTCAGAGAGGGGGCATATTATTGTGGCCCTGGTGGCACAAAATAATCAAAGGTCTGACTGCACAGAGATGCTTGGTAAAATGATCACAACTGGGGACCAGCTTGTGTGTGTTTCAGGGGAAGGGGGGTGTATCTGATCTCCATCGCCTAGGACTTGACAATGGTTAATCAAATCTCCCCATTTTTAACCGTTGTTGCTCAATTTTGCATGCCTTCTAAAACAGCTGCAACTGTATATGCATTCATAAATCAAGTCCTTTCTTGAGTTGGGCTCTGGGATGGAACAACTGTTGAGCATCTGAGTTTATGGTTGTTTGTGGGGGAAAGGGGTTGAGTTTGTATGAGTGTTTGTATGTGTGTGTGTATCCCACAACTGTTGCTAGGGAGTAAAGATGTTAGGGACAATATAGGATGAATCACAATAATTGTTAGCTAAAATAATAAATACGATCAGTACTTACCTGGCTAAAAGAGAAGGAATATAATATATATTGTTTACAGGACACTCATTCAACAATCTCAGATGAAGTTGTGTGGAAAAAGGACTGGGGAGTGAAATATGTTTCTCCCATGGGCAAAGAAATTAAAAAGGGGTGATGATATTAATTAACAGCAATTTTGATCTGAATGTGCAAATTGTCCAAACAGATCCTCAGGTTAGATGGATGATTTTAAATATGTTATTGGACCATAAACAGATATGGCTCATTAACCTATACGGTCCAAATAATTACGATCCACGCTTCTTTGAAAATATGTATAATAATTTGTCAACTCTACAAGCAATACAAGACTCTATTATTTTGGTGGGAGATTATAGTACGGTTTTAAATACCTCTATGGACCGTAAAGGAAGTCACACTACAAACTATTACCCTCACGAATGTCATGGATATATTTGAACTAGTGGATATATGGATGCTTAAATATCCTGACCTAGTGAAATATACATGGCGGAGGCTCAATCAAGCTAGTCGTCTTGATGACTTTCTTATGTCATTCTCTCTGGCACCAAAAGTTTAAAAAGTGTTCATAGGGGACAGAATGCGGTCAGACCACCACATAATTGGCATATATATTGCTCTTTCAGAATTTCCACATGGGCGCGAAGATATTGGAAATGTAATCAAAGCCTATTGGATGATGACTTGTTTTTAACTAGGACAGAATACATTTTAACTGACTTTTTCCAACATAACATACAGTACACTACCAGTCAAAGGTTTGGACACACCTACTCATTCAAGGGTTTTTCTTAATTTTTTAAATTTTTTTACATTGTAGAATAATAGTGAAGACATCAAAACTATGAAATAGCACACATGGAATCATGTAGTAACCAAAAAAGTGTTAAACAAATCAAAATATATTTTATATTTGAGATTCTTCAAATAGCCACCCTTTGCCTTGACAGCTTTGCACACTCTTGACATTCTCTCAACCAGCGTCATGAGGTAGTCACCTGGAATGCATTTCAATTTACAGGTGTGCCTTCTTAAAAGTTAATTTGTGGAATTTATTTCCTTCTTAATGTGTTTGAGCCAATCAGTTTTGTTGTGACAAGGTAGAGGTGGTATACAGAAGATGGCCCTATTTGGTAAAAGACCAAGTCCATATTATGGCAAGAACAGCTCAAATAAGCAAAGAGAAACGACAGTCCATCATTGCTTTAAGACACGAAGGTCAGTCAATACGGAACATTTCAAGAACTTTGAACGTTTCTTCAAGCGCAGTCGTAAAAAACATCAAGCGCTATGATGAAACTGGCTCTCATGAGGACCACCACAGGAAAGGAAGACCCAGAGTTACCTCTGCTGCAGAGGATAAGTTCATTAGAGTTACCAGCCTCAGAAATTGCAACCCAAATAAATGCTTCACAGAGGTCAAGTAACAGACACATCTCAGAAGTTCCTCCTCTGTAATTTGGCCTTCACATGAGTCTTTCTGTACAGCTGTTAATTTTACATTATTAGTAGAAAAAAGATCCATACATTTTTCTTCGGTTAGTGGAGATGGAAGAGACTGAAACAAAAACATATGCTTAAAGTTCTGTCATGAGAATTTCTATCTCTAATACTAAGCTTTGAATAATTCCCAGAGGTTGTAAGACTAGTTAATTAAGAATTAAACAAATTCTCCAGTCTGCAAGAAAACAGCCATTTGTATTCATGAGAGCTCTGGCGCTCAAAACACACACAGCCTTTTTATATGCCTTCATACAAAGGAACTTTGCTCCGCCCACCTTTAGGCGGCCTGTGACTTTCCACAGTATAGCTTTCAGCAGTTTCTAAGTCCCCCCTTACTATGGAATGTTTGCCTTCAACAGTTTCTACCCATATTCCCTGTTAGTGGTTTTAGTTTCTTATAACTCTAACACAGTTTACACATTTATACCGTATTTGGGGTGAAATCCTTTAGTCATTACCTTAAAAATACAAATTAATCTATCAATCCACCCTTTGAATACATTTTTCACACTAAGGATAAATGTATTTACAAGCATGATTCACCTCAGAGAATAGAATTAACTACTTCCAATCATAGGTCTTCTTTTTTAGATTTTCCCTATGACCTTCACACGTCAGAACCAATAAAATTGTATCTAATTGCAGGTTATCAGGGTCAAAGTCCTTGTTATCCATCAAGCCTGGAGGATCATTTTTCACATTCCACTGGTCAGAGTCCAGAGTCGGTTCATATCTCATCATCTGTTGAGACGCTGCATGCTCCAACGCCTTACTCACCAACCCTCGGACACAGGGAATAAGACAACAAACACACAATACAAGCATACCCATACAGGCAACAACTGCCCCCCAAATTGTGGCTTCTATGGTTTTCCATTTCCCAAACATTTCATCAAACCACCCTATCAAAGATGTATTAACTCCTGAGTTCTCAGCCCATTCTTCACTTAGAGCAGTCAATCCTGCAAGAGCTCTACACCGCCCTTTTCTGCCAGCAACATATGTAGAGCCAACCTATTTTGCCAAGTCATGAGCGAGGTGGCGGATAATTGATCTGAGATTCCCCTCACTGCATCTCTAGTCAGGTTCACAAACCGTTGTTGGCTGTAATATATATAATTAATCCAATCCACATTTTTATTGATTGTTACCCACCAAAAGAACGTTGTAGTAAATCCTTCCCCTACTTGATTCATAGCTTTGTATTAATCCGGTAACCCCCTTGGTATTCCAATTGTATCCATCCAAATAGGGCTATTCTCCTTCTGGTCAAAACTCCTCCTACGTCTGTTTAACCCTTTCCTTGGTTTCTGGTGACTAATTCTAACTGGCTGAACCAGTAGAACCGGGGCGCAGGTACCTACCCACCCCTTTGGCCTTGTCTGCTTTATACGGCCTTTACTGTTACACGCATTGGTTACAGGGGCTGTAAGGTTCCGAATTCTCTCCTGTGCTTCCGAACCTAAGTCAGTCACATTACTACTATTTCCAATTGACAATTCGTGATATATTTGTTTCTCTTTACACCCCATCTGGATGTCCAGTCCCGCCCGGTCTCATATCCCCGTCCCCAAGTGTGTTTAAACACTTGAGTCCAGGAACAATCCGCCGTGGGGCCCAAACACAAATATGATGGGGTATTATTCCATTCCGTTGCTTGTTGACATGTACCCCACCCATTGGCTACGTCCCTAACCCTTATTTTGAATCCTACAGTCTGCCCTTCTCTGACTCCTATTTTGTAGGTCACTCGTCCTTGAAGGTAGGTATGTCGGGTCGTTTCTCTTTTACTTCTTAACAATGGTAAAGGCATAGCGTAATTGGTGTGGGGTGGTGGTGGATCTTGACATATCAGGACCATTGC